AGGTTAACTTAAAGCCTGTCTAGAGAACTCTTTTGCATTATGATTCAGCTAAGTCCCACAAGAATAGGCTTGGTCATGAAAGCAAATATATACATGAAGAATATTTTAATTTCTTGCTGAAATGTGTGAGTAATGCAGACAGCACTGATTCTAACAAAATGGGTAGAATTAGACACATATCCTAAGAACAGACACAAATTAAGTATATGGTTTCATTGTTATCACTTATGACATATTTTCATTTCCTTTTGACAAATAAACACTATTTCTACATTGTTCTCTTTAGAAAGGTGTGTGATACTGAGAGGTATATTTTTATAAGTGATCAGGTACAGTTCAAGTCAACAGATATTTCTTAAGCACCTATTTCATGCAAATATTTAAGTCCATTATCAGAACCAACTGTATTTGATAATAAGATATTTTGTGTATATAAGACAGGTCATCAAAAGAAAATACTATTTTGACCTGGAAATTAAATTACTTCATTGTCACTTCTCCACATCTTATCTTTGAAGTTTCTTCTTATATGTTCTTTTTGGGGGGGAAAAAAAAGCTGCAATTATTTTACTTTTCCTGACCTTTCACACCTAAGCAGTCATTTCCTGAACATGTTTTATATTATCTTTTGCATTCTCACCAATACCACTATGTGTTAGGTCCTCATTGCCTAATCTATGAATTATTGACATGATGTCCCAAATATTATGCCACCCTGTCTTCACAGCTGCCAGAGTGATCTTCCTAAAAGTACAAATTACTCAATCTACAAATTGATTTCAGTATGTATAGATTCCTTTGTAAAATCTAAAATTTCTTCCCAAGGCTCAAAACTTTGATGACCTGGTTCCTTGATGATTTGACCTGAAAAACCTTAGATAGAGCTGCTAACCTGCCTCACCAAACCCATAATGTCTCACCAGTCTTCCTCTAGTAGCCTGCAAACACATACAGTTCTACAGAGCCAAGCTGCAACAGTCTCCCCCATGTACCATGCCTCAGCTATTTCATTAGTTGGTAGGCCTAGGTACACAGTGTGCTTCCAGCCTATGTAAATAGTGTACTTCCTGCCTCTTTTAATGCCTGTTTTATTTATTTCTTTTACCTAGAAAACATCTTATAACCTTCTATTTCCTAACCCAAATATAACAACTTTTTTATAAACTATATTTATTGGAATTTTTGAATTTCCTAGAACTCATCAGGTTGTATATATTGTTAGCGTTTCCTTTTTTTTTTTTTTTTTATGATGGCCAAGCATAGTGTTCAGTACCTGTCATACCAGTTACATGGGTGGCTAAGCAGAAGAATCAGTTGAGTTAAAGAGTTTGAGACCAGCCTGGACAATATAGTGGGATCCCCATCTCAGAGAAAAAAAATAATTGATATAATACTGTACATAATTATTGGTACAGTAGGACAAATTAATACATGTATACAATGTGTCATGGTAAAATTGGGATAATTAATATTGGTTTGTGTTTTTCTGCATTTTTTAGCACAGAGCATGGGGTTGTGTTCTTTGTCTCATGTATGTAAAGAATGAAATTCATGGACACAAGGGTGAGAGCAACGTAAAAGGATTTATTAGAGTAATAAAGTTCTCAAAAGGGAGTGGGGTGGTCCCAAAAGAGGGATGGATACTGGAAAGTGACTGTTTCTAGGGGTTTATATAGATTTGCAATGGTTAAAGAAGCTAGCTCCTGACTCAATTCTGGGTAAGGTACTCATGTCCACAGTTCGTAACATGCTTTTTGGTACAATCAGGTTACTTTGGCTCCCTTTTTAGAGGAGGGTCTGGGTACCAGACAATAGATATCTCAACTATCTGTTTTTTCTGCTTACACAGGAGTCAGCCTAACGTTGTTGTAGCCTGGTTTGTGTCTGTAATTTCTTAGCCTTGCAAACCAGAACTGTCCTCAAAGGAGCCCAAGTTTCCTGCCTGCCCATTCTAACCCTTTCCCCTGCCCATGTTGTAAGCTTCTTGTAAGCATTGCCTTCTATCTCCTAGCAACTAATTCCTAGCATTGTCTTCTATCTCACTAGCAACTAACACAGTGTCTTTTTTTTTTTTTTTAGAAAATTCTCTAAGAAATTTATATTCAGTGAACAACAAAAATTTACTTTTCTGGGCTCTCTAGAGAAGATTTAACACCTCATGACGAATCTGTACTCAATAGTTCATTTTCCAAGGGGATAAGTCAACTGTTCCAGTCTCCCATACCACTGCCTGGTGATATACCAGGGTTGTGGGTGGGTTACAATGATATGGATGATATATTTAAGATATTTTACTTTGGAGAAAGAAATGCTTTCAAATGATTAATTAAATGGTTTGGCTCTGCAATAATTGAAATATCTTTGTGGAGCTATAAAAGACTATGTCTGGATGATTATGATGAATTGCATATAAAACACTCCCTCTGTATAATGAATTGGTATTCTGGAATGCTGTGATTACAATGAATTTTAATTTGTATGTGATACTAGTGGTCACATTTGTTACTACTTGAATCTGATTAAAATATTTTTGATTAACTGATAAAAATTAGGTAGTGAGGTAAACCAGCAAGTGTTTGAAATACCATTTTAAGAAATATTTCCTTTCTTTGAATTAGCCCTGCTTGGAAGTGGTCTAGCTGCAACATATCTGGGGCATGCAAGTCATATCTCTTTCAGACCATAAAATTTCATATCAGAGAAAAGTATGCCTGAGGCATAATTCTGTGAGTTAATGAATCTTCCCTCAAGCTCCATTCCTTAGGTATAGAAGATGGAAGAAATAAACAAGGAAAATAAGGCTATCATTTTCTCTAGCTGTTGGGCTAAAATAAGCTCTCTACTGTTACTTATAGCTGCGAAAACTGAAACTGAGAGAGAAGGAACATGTGTTCTAAGATTGTACACTTGGATTGTAATTAAGCCAGTTTGAGCTTATGACTGATAGCCTACTCCTTGTGCTCTTCCCACTGCACCTCCTTGTATCCACCATTACTCCTTAACTGAATGTATGTTCCTATTGATCTCAAAAGAGGGAATCAGATATAGAGTTCAACTCTCAGTGATATATTAAAGAAACTCGCAGAGGACCTAGCATGGAAAAGAAGGCTAAGTCAAAGTATTTAAGCTGAGCACGTAGGCATTTCAGTAAGAGGTAACAGGGGTTACCAAAATAGAATGTGAAGCCCTGTGAGGCTGCCCCCTGTCTCCTAACTGTAGGTATTACCTGTAGCCAATCCATGGTCCTTGACTACTTTTTACCTCACTTCCTTTTGGAACACATAACCATCATTACATTCTCAGTTCTCATGTATTGTCCTTCCTGGAGCCCTAGTTGTGCATCTGAAAATGACAACGGGGCAGTTGTGTTTTCATACCTGTGATCACCTCAACCTCAATACACCCCAAACTCATTGTTATGGTTTGGATATGAGGTGTTTCCCAAAAGCTCATGTGTAGGAATATTCAGACATGAAATGATTTGATTGTGAGAACTATAACCTAATCAGTGGATTAATCCACCTGATGGATTTACCTTTTTAATGGATTAATGAGTGGTGATTGTAAGCAGGTAGGGCATAGCTGGAGGAAGTAAGTCACTAGGGGTTTGCCTTTGGGGATTATATTATCCCTTGCTCTTGGCACTGAAGCTCTCTCTATTCCCCAGCTGCTTGAGCAGAGAAGCTTCCCTCTGCCATGTTCTTGTGCCATGATTTTCTGCTTCACCTCAAGCACAGAACAATGGAGTCAGCTTACCATGGACTGAACCTCTAAAACTGAAACTTTTCCTCCTCTAAATTGTTCTTGTTGGGTGTATTGGTCACAGTGATGCAAAGTTGACTAATATTCTCCTTTATTTTCTTTTTTATTGGTCCTAAATCTGCATTTATTTTCCTTGATTAGTAATCAGGCCCCTTCCAAAGACAATAAAACGTATGCAATAGGCATGATTTCATTGCTTTATTTCATAACTACACTATAACATCCTCTTTTATATCAGTAAATTCTTCTTCAATGATTTCTTCTTTCCATGTTTTTGTTAAATGTATCAAACTCTCCTACTTCCCACTTTCAAAAAGTAGCCATGCTTATTTTTCCTTGTCTTTACATTAACTAATATTTAATCATGTATCAGATGTTATGGTGGGGCTGGGGCATTGGCTCAGTGGTAGCACACTTGCCTGGCATGTGTGAGGCACTGGGTTTGATTCTCAGCACTACATTTAAATAAATAAAATTAAAAAGCCTATCAACAACTAAAAAAAAAAAAAGATGCTATAGTGAGGGCCTGGAGTTGTGGCTCAGTGGTAGAGCATTTGCCTAGCATGTATGAGTCCCTGGGTTTGATCCTCTGTATTGCATATAAATAAATAAATAAATCCATTGACAAATAAAAATATTTTTAAAAAAAACATAGGTGCTATAGCAGGTTATTTTTAAATGGTTTGCTTTTTATGTTCATTTTTATTCCCACAACTGCTGTACAAATTAGAATAGCTTATCTCTACATGTCTGAACTAACACAAGAGTGAAAAATCCAACACATCTGACCAACTCCAAACTCTCTAGTCTCTCTTCTCTTCTGTTAAAAAATACATGTATGGCAACTCAAGGGTCTTTATGGAATCACCTTTCTTACCTTTTCAGCTTTATCTCACGTTTCTTTTAAGCCTAAATTTTCTTCAAAAAAAAAAGCTGCTGCACACATGGACCTAAATCAGTGCTTGTACATTGCTGTTTCTACAGAGTATTAATTGTACATGAAACTCATTCTCATTCATCTTACCCATTCCAGCTTATGCCATTTATAATGTCATTCTTCACCATTCACTAGGTAGTCCACAGAAATACTAAACATATTAAAAATGACCATTCACTTAGATGGCTATTACTATTAACACACACACACACACACACACACACACACATTCATTTTATTGAAGATAAAGCAGATGTCTTAGAAACAGATCATAGGAGAATTCTAAAGAATTTGCATTATATTTTAATATCTTGTTTTAGTCAACTGTCCCATTGCTTTGGCCAAAATACCCAACAACAACTTAGAGAAGGAAAAGTTTATTAGGCTCACAGTTTCAAAGGTCTTAGTCCATAGATGGCTGGCTCTCTTGCTCTGGGCCCAAGGTAAGGGAGCACATCATGGGAGAAGGTCCCTGTACTCAGATCATAGTGAAGTCAGGAAGTAGCAGGAGTGAGAAGGGGTCACAGGGAAGATGCATGCTTCCTAGGAAAGCACTTAGTTATCTACCTCTTCTAGCTATGCATCACCTGCCTGCAATTACCACCAGTCAGTCAGTCCCTTCAAAGTAGGATGAACTTATTAGTTTCAGCTCTCATAATCTAATCATCTGAAAGATGAATATTCCTACATTAAACAGGAGCTTTGGGGGGACTCTTAATTCAAACCATAACACTGATTTTACTCACTAGTACACTGGCAGTTATTCCTGATAATGTGCTATTTACCAGGAAATGTTTTAAGTTTTAAAAATAAAGTGGTGAACAAAACAAAATCTCAACCCTCACAGAACTTCAACAATAGAGACAATGACAATAAACTATAAACAGATGCATAATGTTAATTGCTATAAAGAAAAATTAAGCAAGATGAGATACTAGAGTGAGGTGAATTGGGAGTGATTTCATATATTTTTAGAAATGGTATTCTGAAGTAGAAGGAGCTAGCAGTGGTGTGGGGGTGGTGGGGTAGTGCTGGGACTTAATTGGAGCAGGTTGTGTTCCATGCTTTTGTGATAATGGCAGGGTGTAACCTTGTGTTGTATATAACTAAAAAGGGTAAATTTTAAAAAGAAACGGTATCCCAAGCAGCCTCTATGAATACATTGAAGACAGAGAAGAGTGAAATAAGAACACAGAGATCTGGGTGGTAGAGAGAGAGAGAAGAGCAAAGGAAAAGACCTTAAGGTAGGAACCAAACTGGCATTTTAGAGGGTGAGCAGAAAAGTCCTTGTGGTTGGAGTATCGCTACAAAAGGAAATGATGGAAGGAGGAAAATGTACAGTGGTCTTCAGGGATCAGACCAGGTGAGGTGCAGATTTTGTTTTGTTTTGAGTGTGAAAGGAAATATCAGAATGTTTGAGAAGAGAAATTGCATGATAAGAATAGTATGTGAAAGAGAGCCTTCTGGTTTCTATAGATAGAATAGAAGGCAGAACAAGGAGAAGAGAAGTGAGAAAATCATCTGATTTAAGAGGCTGATCACTTCAACTAGAAATTACAATGATGCGTCTTAATGATTGATTTGATATTATGTGTAAAGGAAATTTAAAAAATTAAAGATGATTGATAGGTTTTTTCTATTTAATAGTATTTGAACCAGTGCAATTCAGTCTTGGGAAGGAGATATTTTAAGGGGATAATCAATAATTAAATTTGAAGAATTCAGTTTGAAATAATTTGTCCTATGAGCTTGGAGAAGTCCTGACTGAAGTCTAAAATGAAAAGGGTAGAATTAGGGGAGCATCTGTATTCGATGATGATATGATTCAATGAGAAAAAAATTGAGATGGGGTGGTAAGAATAAAAGAGAACAGGTTTGAAGAAAGATGTATTTGGTTTGGGAATTGTTAAATTCCAGACTTCTGAGAGTCATCTAAGTGGAAAAATCCAAGAAGCTGCTAGGAAACCTTTGAAAAATTAGACTTTGGGATTTGAAGCACAATTTAGGAGAATCGTGGAAAGAGCCCAGAGACGAGGTAAATAAAATCTGAGAGCTGGACAAAGAATTTTTAGGTTAGTATCACCTGAATCACCTGAGACCCAGATGATCAATGGTACTATTGAAGGAAAAAAAGAATACTTCAAAAATGAAGGGAGTGGCCAACAGTTACAGAGATGCCAAGGAGAATGGTTAAGAGTCAACATCAGGCATGCAACCAATTGTTTCTGGGAATTAATGAAAAGTGCTCACAGGTTCCATCTCTTTTCTTTTTGGGGACTACCAGGGATTGAACTCAGGGGCAGTTGACCACTGAGCCACATCCCCAGCCCTATTTTGTATTTTATTTAGAGATAGGGTCTCACTGAGTTGCTTAGTGCTTCACCATTGCTGAGGATGGCTTTGAACTTGAAGTCCTCCTACCTCAGCCTCCTCAGCTACAGATATTACAGGTATATGTGCTTGGCAGGCTCCATCTCTTTGAGGAAGTTCTTTGTCTCCCTGGACCAAGCAAGGATGGAAATCAGCATTCATTGGTCATTTATAGCACTCTCATTGATGGATTCCATTGCATAAACTTTGTTATCATATTCAAGATACCAGGATGCAGGTGGGACACTCATAGCCAGGGACACTGTTGGTACCAAGAGCACTGAAACCCCATGCAAGCCTCCAACAAACCTTTATTTGTAATGGGCAGTTCTTGGCACCCCACTTACTTGCTTATGCTTGGTTTGTGTTCCTGAACTGAATAGGCTATACGACCACAGGTTTCTAAACTGGGGCATGTAGGAATAGGTTAAAGATTCCTAGCATTTGGCTGGGGAGTGACACGGCTACCAGGACTGTGCTGACAAGTGCAGGTCCCCTGGGTCCTGAGATGTATATGATACAAGGCCCCCTAGAGGGCAGCAAAGCCTCACAGGAGGGGGAGAAATGCCAGATCAGGGGCTCTTGAGGAGCTTGACAAAAGGAAACACAAGGGGGCAATGCACACATTCATGGAGAATGAAACAGAAGTTAAACATAGTGAATTAAATGTAGCCGACAAGATAAGAAGTAGAAAGGCCTAAGTTGTGCACCAGGCATCAAAACCACATGGTCTGGAAAAGAGAATAGTTGGCCAGATGTCAAAGAAAGCAGGATTCCCTGCTCAGTGATGGTTATTACCCCAGCAATAATGAACAGGTAGCATCTGTTGAGGACCATTATTTCCCACATGGCTAGATGACATTTTAAGAAAGGGACATATAAAAATGAATAAAATACTGTCCTTCCCACACATAACTCCTCTCCTCATAGTAGAGATACAAACAAATGTCAGTTAAGAGTTATAAGTATTTAAGTCTATGGAGGGGACACTAGAGGTACACAAAAAAAGAAGCAATTATATGGAAATCAGCATTCATTGGTCAGTTACAGCACTCTCATTGTTGAGAAGGGATTAAAAAAAGCCTCAAAGAAAGAAAACCAGATGATATAGATCCCGATTGTGGTGTTTCCTCTTTCCCCCTGTTTTCTATAGTTCTTCCCTGAAATACCATCTTTTTTTCCTTCTGATTAATTAATTCTTTCATTGAGAATGTTCACACCCCCTCTTTTTTTTCTGGTACCTGGGTTTGAACTCAGCGGATACTTAACTACTGGACCATATTCCCAGCCCTTTCTTCTTATATTTTTATCCAGAGACAGGGTCTTGCTGAATTGCTTAGGGCCTCACTAAGTTGCTGAGGCTGGCTTTGAACTGGCAATCCTCCTGCCTCAGCCTTCTGAGACACTGGTATTACCCATCTGTCTGTTTATTTTTGTTTGTTTCTTTCTACTTATGCTTAAAGGTGAAATTCCCTGTGGTATATCCATATGTGCACATAGTGTGATTTTTCAAAATTAATTCCTCATTTCTTCCCCTTTTCTGTCTCTCCTCTCTTGCTATCCTTCTTCTACTCTAATAATCTTCCCTATATCTTCTTTTGTTGTTTCAAGGGTTAAATTTTATAGAAAACAATTTATACCAAATTTGTGTGACACAAGGCAAATTCCAAATCATATTATACAATAATTCTATTTTTTTTACAAATAGATACCCAAATAAAGTATTTGATAAAATTATAAGTGGTGTTATTGTTGTTTGTTTTATATTCTAAAACTTATGCCTTTATGATATCTGATCCTCCCACCTTTTTTATTTGGTTTTGCTTAAGTTTCCACATATGAGAGAAAACACTCCACCTTTGATTTCCTGTTTCTGGCTTATTTCACGTAGCTTGATGTTCTTTATTTCCATCCATTTACCAGCAACTGCCATTCTTCTTTATGGCTAAGTAAAACTCCAGTATATGCACGTAGGCTGATTTCCCATATTTTGGGTATTGTCAAGAGTAACCCTGCCTTCTTTCTAGGCATGAAGGAGAAAGCTAAGACTTTCACTTCTCTTAGGCCCCTAGAAAGAAAGATAACAGAAAAACAACACATTATTTTTTCAGTTAACTGTTCATACCACTTATGCATTTAGCACATAATAATTGTGCATGGCATATTCTTAGACCAGGGTAAGTTCTAGTTCCACCATGACCTTTTCCATTTTAGTCCTAGTCTGATCTTTTCTTTCTAGCTACATGTAAGTGTTGTTACCTTCACAGTGGATTGATTCAGTGCTGTGTAACTGACTGTGGTGGTCATGCTTGCCATCCTAATTAGATTCTAAACTCCTTGTATTGTGAGGTTGTGAAGAATATTCTCTATGCCAGGTGTCTAGAAGGAGCACAATATGCATCTAAGTATATTCCTTATCGTCATAAGCACTTCATTTTGAATTCCCACTCCAATACTCATCAACTATGTCATTCATAGTTCTCCTTTAAATAAGGTCATAATAATAATCTCAGGGTTCCAAGGATAGTTGATACAATGTATGGGAAGCTCCAAGTGCAGTACCTATCACGTATGCTTGCTCTTCTTCCTTCTCTTCTTTATTCATTGCCTTCTACTTGATTTATTGAATTTTATTTTATTTATTTTTCAGTACTGGAAATTGAACCCAGGGCCTGGAGCATGCTGAGCAAGTACTTAACCACTGAGCTACATTCCCAACTTCCATTTGATTTGTTTAATTGAGTTTTATTTTCCTAATAGTCATCCATTTGGTAATTTTGGTTATTTTCTTTAATCTAGTATTTTAGAATACAAACCTTAATTAGACTTCAGTAATTCAAATATGTGGTCTATCTTTGTTGCATTTAACCATCTGACTTTGAGCAAGCTAACTAACCAATCTTTGCCTCAGTTTCTTTATCTGAAGCATTAGGATGATAATAGCAACTGTATCACAATATACTTGTGAGATTACATGTTAAAATCTATATAAAGCACCAACTGTATGAGATAAGTGCTATTGTTTCCATTGTCCAACTGGATTTTAGGAAAGTTTTATTAATTGTTCAAAATCATGCAACTAATAAGTGGCATTGCTGGGAATCAAATCCATATTAATTAACTCCAAATTCAGAACATTTTTCCATGATATATTATTGCCTAACTTGAGTGAATTAAAATCCACTCAATTTAGAAAAATTTGGAGTTATTGTATATGTATCTATATGTGTGCATTTGTGTATAATTATATGGAGATACAAGTATTGTTGTTTGTGTGTGTGTGTGTGTGTGTGTGTGTGTGTGTGGATGAGAGTGATACAGAGAGAACCCTCCATATTTATAGGTACTGCATCTATAACCAACTATAGTTTGAAAATATTTGAATGAAAACTATCTATTACAAATATATATGGATGTCTTTTTCTTATAATCATTCCATGAACAACATAGCATAACAATTACACAGAATTTAAATTTTATCAGGTATTATAAGTCATCTACAGATTTGAAGTATATGGAAGAATATACATAGTTTATTTGCAAATACCACACCCTTTTATATGAGCGACTTAAGCACCTTATGATTCTGTTTTCTACAAGGGATCTTGGAAATATTCTCTTGCAGATACCAAGGTATGACCACCTACATATATTGGCCTCTCACACTCATCCATGATGAACTCCTGTAGATCACATTTCAAATCCTAGTTCAGTGCATGGCACATAAGTACTTAAGAAACACTATTAGAGGTTGCTTTAGGAATCTCCCATTTTGAACTTAAAATCATCTCACTTCCATTTACTGTGATGAATATTTCATTTATTGTGACAGATGTTTGCTTAGAAGTAACAAAATTAGTAAATCCATCTGTTGTAACTATGTGTGATGATAGCATAAAACAGTATCCTAAAGCCAGGAAAAAATATAATCCCCTTTATTATAACAGTACTCTTGAAACAATGAGTTCAAGAATATAATGAAGTGGTAAGGAGTCTGTCATCATAGAGTTGTGATTTTAGCCCCCTCCTTCCAGTCCAGTGAAGTAGAGATGAGTCTTTTGGATCCAGTGGAAGCACACAGCCTGGTGGGCCAGGACTTGCCTCTCTCTGACAGGCATCGTTCCCAGGCTTGGCCACCTTACCACTAAGCATGCCTCCTCTCCTTTGCTCTTCACTCCTCACACATGTTGACAGGACATCCAAACTTCCTCCCCCTACCCCTCCCTCACCTTGTTTTTGTCAAAATCCAGTGATTTTTAAATCTGAGAAAATGAGAACTAACCTTCTTTGCAAAATTTTTAAACACATTTTATTTGTTTGTAAACAGAAACAGGAAATTTTTAAAAAAGGAAGAAAAGTGCCTTTGTGTGTTGCATTAGGACAGGAGGTTGAAGGTGAGGGGGAAGGAGGATGTCAAACAGAAGAACCTTGATGAGATAGGAGAACCAGACAGTGAACTTCTGTGCACCAAAGGAGGGACCAGATTAGATGGAGTTAGATTTGAGTAAGTAGTAGGACTGGCCTGTGATCAATCTTGTTTTTACCACGTTCTCAGTTGCAGCAATGCAAAACACATCTGTAGAATTGCTGCTATTTACCAGGCCCATCTCTCCCTCCACCATACCCTTGCCAGGCTCTAGTAGTCACTTTTCTACTCTTAATTTGTATAAGATGAACTTAAAGCTTCTACAAATAAGAGAATGGGAACATATAGTACCTTTCTTTCTATGCATAGCTTATGTCACAACATAATGTCCTCAAGGCTCATCCATGTTGTATCAAACAATAGGATTTTATTCTGTGTGTGTGTGAGAGAGAGAGACTTTAGATTGAACCCCAAGCCCTGTGCACACTAGGCAAGTGCTCCACTATAGAGCTGCATCCACAACCTTTCTACTATTTCATTTTGTAACAGACCTGGCTAAATTTCCCTGCTGGCCTTGAATTTGTAATCCTCTTGCCTCAGCCTCCCAAGTGGCTAGGATTGCAGTCTTGTGCCACTATGCCCGGCAATTACATTCTTTTTTATGGCTGAATAATAATCTATTGTATATCAGCCTGTATGACCTAACATTCATATGATTTGGTGAACTTTATTTAAGAAAGAAAATGATCTCAAAATATAAACACAAAAATAGAAATGGAATCATTTCTGAAATAAGTCCTAAGATGCCAGCAACTTTTAGTTAATGCTTTCTCAAATGATTCTTGAGCTGATACTATTCTCCTATGGAGACCTTCCCTCTAGTTGACCTTTAGTTCCTCCCTGAAAATCTTTTCCTTTAAGAATGTTGTGTAAGCTTGTAAAGCACCTTAGGACTGTTTTCAAAATCTGTATCTTCCTGGGTTTCTATTGATTGTGAAACAAGTAGAAATGTTGAGGGAAAGTACACAGCAAAAAGGCAATGACTTAAGATGATTCATCTCTGAAAACAACTCTCCTCATAAACAGGATTAAGATTCATCCTTTGGGAATTCTCTGGAAGCTAAATGAAAGGCTTTATTCAATACAAAATTTAACACATTTCATTATTTTCTACACTCTAATTTATTAAACTATTCTCCAGTGGGTTTTTTGTTCTTGTTTTGCTTCTGACATTTTCTATAATACTGAAGGGAAAATCTTTGTGCAAAAACCTTCAAGCTTCTGTTGAATTATTTTCTTAGAATGAATTCCTATGAATAGAATTACTGGGTCAATATAGCTGATTCTTTACATTTTAATTGATTATTTGCATTGCTTCCCCACCTGTCAATTTCTACCTTCCTTTTGTTTTTATAGAGCACAGCTTAATATGTTTCTTGGCAGCTTCTCAAATACTTTCAAACTTATGTTCACTTCTGACATTGTTTTATGGGACTATTAATCATGCTCAATTTTGTTTTTAATCTGAAACCTTTAAATGAATCAATGTGGCATTTCAAGTCTGGGCAAAGGATGTGTTTCAGTGTGTGTATGGATGCTACAAGATCCGTTGGCATATTTAGTAAACCATTACAATGTATTTACTTATGAATAGAAGTTTGAGTAATGGGACTGAAGTAGGGTATTACGTGGCAATATCACATTATAATAGTGAAGTTTTAAAATTTGGTTTTATTCTTTCTTTGTAAACTGAAGATCCATAATGACTTTTCTTCTGCCTTCATCTGGAGTGTTTTGATCAGTTTTACTAGAGGGTTGACTTTCAGCTCTTTTGGTGACACATTCCAGCTCTTGAAGTCTACTGCCTGTCCATCATCTGATTCACACCACATCTCACGCATCACACTGGTGGTGAGCTCATCTCAGCAAGATCCCTTTCCCAGCCCTCTGCTTGCTGGTGTATTCCTGTCTAGGTAAATTCCAGGCAGTGGAATGGCATTCTGTTTGCATGTTAGCAGGGAGCCTGGAGGGTGATTTATTCTACTTGGCCATTATGTAGTCAAATTTGACCTTTTAAAAAATAAGTTTACATTGTGCTCAAAACCTAGCTCCACTAAGTACACACTATTACCTTCATATATGACCTTTTTGGTCTCTCCAATGTGATATCAGACTATTTAAATAAAGAGGGGTTTTTTTTTAAGCATAAAATGAGGGGCAGGGAGTAAGATGTTAATAAAGAGCACAGGATTTGGAAATAAAACAGCTGATTTCAAGTTCCACTTCTGTGACTTACTACCTATGGGGCTTTGACCAGCATAGAAAACGTTTTCAGTCATGGGTGCCTTATTTAAAAATGGGGATAACAATTACCCTGTGAGTTTCTTGAAGAAATTTTATATGACATAAATTCTAAGTCTTAAATTATGTTTAGCATAACAGTTCTACATATCTGAAATAAACTCAACTGGAAAGAATTATAAATCTTCAGTGAAGACTATTGAAACATTATTAGTTACTTTGAGCAACACATTATTGGTGAATGGGATAATGAATAAGTGAAAGAAGGACAACATTGTCTATTTTAGCATGTAGTAAACATAATAAAGCTGTAATTACAGTTACAGGTAGTTAAGAAGGGTCACCTCCAAAAGCAAAGATGAGCTTCCCAATCTGTATTAATGCCATTTTTACTCCATGCT